GAACGACTCCTATCTCTGGAGCGTCTTGACCTTCGCGATAACAGACTACAAGACCCAACGGAATTGGCCAGACTCACTGGCATCCCAGATATTCATGAGATCTGGGTTTCGCGTAATCCTTTCGTCAAGAGCCATAGCAATTATCGCGTCCAGATATTCAATCTTTTCCGGAACACCCCGGGTTATTCCGAGGACATCATGATTGATGCTTCAGCTCCTGGCTATGGTGAAAGAAGGCAATTAAGAGATCGTGTGATCGAGCCAGAAGGAACCCCAATCGTCCAGACAATTCCCCTTGAGCCAACGTCAAATCTTCTAGCGCAGACCCAGCAGACCCATAAAATTAATGACGGCGCAGACGGACCGGATTCACAGCGCCCATCACCTCAAACGACACAAAGTGAGTTTGCGGTAGGGTCAGCTCGTCGAAGAAAGGGCCCAAGGCGGCGCATCGTAGACCTTGCTCGGGAGAGCTCCTCCCTCAATCAACAAAGTCAAAGGGAAATTTCGCAAGACATCGCACGTCCAACACCCGCCAGTGTTTGCACCGACGACGTGTCGCCAAGGAGCAAGCCGACCTTACTCCCCCCACTGCAGATTCGATCTGACATACCATCGCCACAGCCGCAGCCGCTCGGAACAATAGATTCAGCCGCTTTCTCACCTCCAGATGTATCCGACAAAGGACAATCTCTTGTCTCGGAAATCCAAAATTTGAATCTCAACGTCAACGGTGAAGCATATCGACAAAAGATTGAGAGCCTCAAGAGCGAAGTTGGAAGCAATTGGTTAAGTGTGCTGAGCGAAGAGGGCTGGAATCAGCACCACATGAAACCAGAAGTCCCTGCTTTTCGAGCATCGAGCCAGGGCATTCTCAGTGGCAGTCGCACTCTAGGCTAAAGAGCCGCCTACTCTTGACATTTACCCCTATTTTCAAGGAACGCCAAGGATCATTAATGTTTTTCTGAACACGGCAATGACTCCTTGTAGGAATATCACATTGTTTGTCGGTCATAGGAGCAGCTCTTTCGTCTGCATTTGGTGTTTTCAAAGCGGGCATTTTCCGCTGACGGCTAGCATAAGCGTTCTGTGCATAGATACCTTCTTTTCTCATGTGTTTCAAAATGGTCATGGAGCGATGGTAGGCCTGATCAATGGTAGATTTGTAGCATAGAAGCGAAGGCGTTAGGCGTTGCAAGAAGAAAGCATCCTCGGCATTGTTCGATCCATGGTAGATATAAACATGACTTTGTGGTAACCAAGTATCCAGAAAAAGCGGCAGTCTTGAGTACTGGCGTTTAGTGCACTCAGAGCCAAGGTATCTGGCAATTGATGTGCAGCAACAGTTCGGACAGAGTGCTCCATGGATCATATAATTCGGAGCTCGTGCTCATATTGTCCACACACAAGAGGTTCTAGAGGTCCAGCTGTCTCACTAGACACATGCAGGAGAGCTTGAGTCGGATTTACAATTCTCTTCAGGCAAGGATTGTGCTCTAAACTTCGAATTTTTTTGACAATTATGTACGAGGTTTAGAGTAGAGAGGCGAAAGGGCTTTACTAGCCGCTACATTCCTGCGCTAAGAGCCGACAACCCAATAATCCAAAGAACCCAACATCACTTCCTTCTCTGATACGATCTTCTTGCAGCCCACAAAATTTCCCAATAAATCACATATCTGTGTATTTAAATTCGGTCAATACGTCTTCTCTACACTTAGCGACGACCACCTTTCTCATGTGCTGAAGACGCCGTATCACAATATCCAACAACAAGCCGAAAAACTTCAGCGACAGGACCTGCGAACAACTTCAACGTGATACCAACCTCACCAACTGTCCAGCTCACCATACTCTTGCTCCCGCCCTTGTGACCAGGCTTGTGGTAATCATTGGAGACCGGGGAAGATCGGACCTCTAAGACTTCTCTGTGGGGACAGGGTGTTGACGCTTTCGCTTTTGACGCGCAGTATCCCAAGGGGAGGAATCACCGCCTACACAAGAGTAGATTAAAGGTAAGTGGAAGTATATGAAGCGCTATCTGAGGCCCGCGTGGTGCATACCCTGCGAACGCGTTAATGCGAGTTTATGTTGGCAGGCTTCTATCAGGCTGGCTGACGCTGTAACAGGAAAGTAAGCTCTTCGAAATCCGGAATCAGAATTGTGAGAGGACGACTTTGAGTGGCTTTCAATACCGCCCTGAGCTCAGAAAAGCAGAAGTCGCCCCGCAAACTGGGACCACAGCATGGCGGATCAAAATGATGTGGACCTGGATTCCATCATCGATAGGCTGCTCGAAGTGAGAGGCAGTCGACCCGGGAAGCAGGTGCAGCTTCTTGAAGCAGAGATACGTCACCTGTGCCAGAAGGCCCGCGAGATCTTCATCTCCCAGCCCATACTGTTGGAACTGGAAGCCCCGATCAAGGTATGTGGACTTTTTCAACCGTGCGGCTTGCAAAAGTATTTTTGGCATTCGAGATCGTTTACTGACACTCTGCTTTGCCTGTTGCAGATCTGTGGTGATATCCATGGCCAGTATTACGACCTTCTCCGCCTCTTTGAATATGGGGGATTCCCACCCGAAGCAAATTACCTCTTCCTTGGGGACTACGTCGACCGAGGCAAACAATCTCTTGAAACCATTTGCTTGCTTCTCGCGTACAAGATCAAGTATCCAGAGAACTTCTTCATCCTGCGTGGGAACCACGAGTGTGCATCGATCAACCGCATATATGGATTCTACGATGAATGCAAGAGGAGGTATAACATCAAGCTGTGGAAGACGTTCACCGATTGCTTCAACTGCTTGCCGATTGCAGCAATTATCGATGAGAAAATATTCACGATGCATGGGGGACTGAGCCCTGATCTGAATTCCATGGAACAGATCCGTCGTGTGATGCGACCTACAGATGTGAGTGATGTTCCGGTTTTCTCAAGAGGCTCGTGGCCTTCAAAGAGCACGGGTTGTGCTCGGGTAGTGATCCGCTGACTTCCGTAGATCCCCGACTGCGGCCTGTTGTGCGACTTGCTGTGGTCAGATCCTGACAAAGATATCACTGGGTGGAGCGAAAACGACCGCGGTGTCTCATTCACCTTCGGGCCTGATGTCGTTTCTCGATTTCTACAGAAGCATGACATGGACCTTATCTGCCGCGCGCATCAGGTCGTTGAGGACGGATACGAATTTTTTTCGAAAAGGCAACTAGTCACGCTATTCAGCGCGCCCAATTACTGTGGAGAATTCGATAATGCAGGCGCTATGATGAGCGTGGACGAGAGCTTGTTGTGTTCGTTCCAGGTAAGCCACTCCACCTAATGTGCTTGCAAAGTCGCAGGTCCATTACTTTCCCCACAGCCGGCTGTCATAAATCTTTGGAAATGCAGTAATTAACGCCACATTTTATCTGCAGATCTTAAAGCCAGCGGAGAAGAAAACAAAGTACGTCTACGGTGGCATGAGCACTGGCCGGCCTGTAACTCCTCCAAGGAAGCAAAAGAAGAAGTAATGTACCAACACAAGCTCTCCGTGTGCAGCAGGTTCGGGCGAAGATAGATCCCAATCACCATTTACGTTACCATCACGATCGAAATCACAAAGCGCTAGCCATACACCCATATAACTTCCGCGATCGATATTGCTACCCCCTTTTCGTCGCTCTGATCTCTCGTCTTCCTCCTCTATCACCCTACGGTTGGCGACGATGGCGGTGGATTAAAGGTCAAGAGCATGAGGGGTGGGGGGTTGGCTGTCTCTACGTCGGTGTTTTGCTATGCTAGGATGATGGTGGACATGGTGGACCCTGTCAGCGGTTTTAAGATGTTCAGTGAGTTCATGTCGCTTGGCGGCAGATTCAGATAAATTCTCGTGCTCGATCATAGACCCGTTGAATGCGTGTGTCATGGCATTCGACTTCTGCCTCGCCGGTCTCCCCACTTCATATCATCCTTCCATATCTACGGTATACCGCCATCTTCCTCAGCAAACCCTCCCAACTCCAGACCCATCATATGCATAAAATTCAACCTTTGCTGATCATGTTCGCCTTGTGTGCGATTAGGCAAGGGTAGTCTCAGGGTTGTGGTGGATCGTAGGTCACCTCTTCAATGCTAACAGTCTAGACAAGAGGGTCACGGAAGATGTCGTAGAGCTGTAGCAGTAGTAGTTGATCCTCAGGTGTAACCGACTGTCTGAGCGCTAATTTGCATGCACGCGTGGATTAGAATGAACGCGTGAGCGCGTCCCCCGAACTTGGCCTCTCCCATACACGAATGCACGATGCCCACACCGCCGTCATCGCACGAGGCCCCGTCTCTGCCAACATCCCCCTTGCCTAAACGTCCCAAAACAGACATGTCTTCCTCTTCCGCCCCGAAAGCGCCAAAGAACAAAACTGCCCCCCCACCACCTCTCTCAGCCTGCCCCCCACTGCTCGTGAAGAAGCTCTCACCGCATGCAAAAACGCCTACGAGAGGGAGTGCTTTCGCTGCCGGGTATGATATATACAGTGCCAAAGAGTGCAGGATTCCGAAGAGGGGCAAGGGATTGGTCGATACGGATATCAGCATTGCGGTTGGCGAGGGGTGCTGTGAGTTGGCTATTGCGGGTCGAGATGGCATGTGCACTTGCTGACTATGATGACTGCAGATGGTAGGATAGCACCACGCTCGGGCCTGGCAGTCAAGCATTTCATAGATACAGGGGCAGGTGTCATCGACTCGGATTACAGAGGACAGGTCAAAGTGCTCTTGTTCAATCATTCTGAGGTGGACTTTGAGATCAAGGAAGGGGATCGAATAGCCCAGCTCGTGATTGAGCGAATCTACACGCCAGAGGTTGTGGTTGTAGACGAGCTGGAGGAGAGTGTCAGGGGTGCGGGGGGCTTCGGCAGTACTGGATAGGCATGATAGCCGTCAATGGATTTCAGCTTTACCGTCGGATTGCGCAACACGGTTGTACATGTCTTCAATCGTTCCGTTTTTCAAGAAATTGATATCTCTCATGTCTTCTCGGGCTCTTCAATCTCGTCACTTCCTTCACTTCTATTTTCAGCCAGATGTTTCGGCTCTGCTTTCTCCTCATTCGTCTCTGGCACCGCACTAGTGTCTTGCTCCAGTCTCAGGACCCTCAGGTCTTCGCTCTCTGCCGCACCCGATCCCTCCGTCGTTTGAGCTATTTGCCCCTCAGCATCTTCGTCTCCAGCCAGACCCTCCGCCTTCCAGGCTGTACGAGGCGATCTCAAGTCTTCCAAACATCTCACAACTCTCACCTCAGCTGCCTTTGTGCGCCGTAAGCCCAATCTCTTTTCGCTGTCCTTTTCCTTCTCCATAACCCCTAGTGACCCACCCATTCCTTCCAATTCTTGGTCCCTGGCCTCCTTGGTCTTCACCAAGATAGCATGCATACTCCCCAAAACCTTCTCTGCTGCCTTTGCCAGCGGCAGATCCGTTGCTTTGACGTCGTTGGAGGAAACCCAGCTTTTGGTACCGCTCAGATTAGCCTCCGTTACAGCTTCACGAAGTCGAACTACAGTCAGCGCCGCGAACATGTCACCTGTTCCGCTGAAGAAGCAGTCTATAGCTGGGATATCAATTTTGAAGGTACGAGGAGAAAAGTCGGCTCGGGCGGTAGAGCCGATAACAGACATTCTTGAGGGCGAATCTGAGAGTCGAATGGAAGTAATGATTATATGTGGAATACGGTGAGTCTTGTGGAGTCTTGCAAGAGCCTCTTGGAGGGTCGATACGGATGTGATTTTGATCTCAGAGAGGAGCCTATTGGGTTACGTTTCAGATCTGCATTCGACCTGTCCGTTGAAGAATGTCTTACTCCGCTTCAAATTGATTGGGGAGGATCAGGTCGGCGTCCCGCAGCAGGTTTCTGTACACGGGTACAACGTCCTCACTAACGTAGAGTCGCCCTTGGTCGCCCATGACAGGATCGAGGACTGCCAATGTTAAGTGATTCAGGTCCACCAACATTTCATGGGGTTATCACATACCCCAGAAGAAGGACCCCACCTTTGTTGAAGCTCGAAGCTTCATGTCCCTGGCGATGGCGCCGATTGCATCAACGGCTTCAGCGCTGGGGGCATAGCCCGTAAGCATGACATCGAAGTCGGTAAGGTAGCTTTCCTTGAGCCCAGCGTAGAGGTGGGATATTTCTTCTGCAGATGTCTTGGTGCCTTTGAACTGCTTGTAACCGGTGTGATTGCCTGGAATGTGTTCAGCAACAAAGAAACAGCCAGTGATGACCCCAAAGAGGGGCTTCGAGGATCAATTGCTTGAGTCTGCATACTAAACTGCACGGTATTGAGGGCAGCGACGTCGCAGCCCATAGTCTGCATGACGAATGCGGCCATTTTGTTGCCGACATATCTGTATTCTTTCAGGCTTTATTTCGGGCCAGCAGACTGAGGGTGCAATTGGGGGGGGGGGCACTTACCCGTAGACAACCTTGATGAGATATGTCAGCCATATGCACCGCTGATACGATAGGGCAGTGGCGTCCCTACATGACTGGCAATGGCCAATACCCGCGTTTCTGGTACTACAGGCTCTGAAGACATAGTAGAGGAAGAACAAGGTGCGAAAGGGGAATAGCAGAGAGGAGGTTGAAGTAAAAGCGAAAGGAAAAGCGGGACCGTTTTGATCGCTTATCAATCTTATCATATCATATCAGGAGGTACGGATCGTATGTCATTACTTGTACCCTGCGATTACCTCTGCTTGCATTCTCCTCGTCTCTGACCACAGGATGGGACTTCAATACTGGGCTTCTCGAAACAAATATCGCATTATATCTGCATTATTGTGTCTTCATCGTATCATGCATGCTTGCTTCATCGAGCCATTTATATACGGGGTATCGACCGTTCCAACAGTCGCTCCTGCAAATGCAATCATCCATTTTTTTGAAACAGCCGTTGTGAGCAAAGCGAAAAGCACCCACTGTGCTTATGAGAACGTATCAAATACCACTCTTGTATCTTCATACGATACTAAGTCGTCCTGTCGTACGTCTCCTTGGTCGTAGTTTGATGACCGTTTCCAACTCTTTGAGCATATGCGTATTAGCGTTTAATTTTTCCTTCACAATCGTCTGCCTCACGCGGTCCTCCTTCGTCTTGGCAATCCTCTCTTCTCTTGTCAAAGTACTCCTCTGCCTTGGTAAGGCAACGGCTTCGAAGATTTCTTCACTCGAGCTGCTCGTCATAGTGCTGGACCGTGATCGAGGAGGCTTCGAGAATCCGTTGAGTGCCTGTAGAGCATCCTGGGGGCTTCCTCCGACAGCAGTGGCCCCGGAAAGGCTGGATGTGGGGGAGGCTGGGAATGCGTTGCTAGTGGACGATAAGGATCTCTTATGATCCTTTTTCTCGAGATTCGTGGCTAAAGCCGCTTTTCCTTCCTCCCATTCCTGGATAAGACCTTTCAGATCAGCTCCAATGGAATCATATTGTGCCAGCAGATTTGTGCTAGATTCCGGGACTTCATCTGAACGCTCCAGTGCTTCGTCAGACTCGTCCCGGAGGAGGCGCATCTTCGCCTGGAGGCCACGGATCCCCTGAGACAGGTTGCCTAATTGTCGCATTTGGCTTCGCATGCGCTCTCTACCGGGCGTCAACGGTATCTTCGGAGTGGGGGGAGTGGGGAAGTCTATTGAGTGCCCGATCAATCTTTGGTATTATCAAACTGAAGTCTCCAGGCTTACCTTCCTCTTCTCCCATCACCTCATCGATATTTGATATCATTCTAACGGTAAGTGAAGTAACATTGCTCATCATCTCCACTGCAATTGACCACCTCCGAAAGTCCGACTTGCTACCGTCGGCGTCCAAAGCTAAAAGAGTACATAGTACGAGCTTCCTTAAAATGTGAAGCTTCTGCAAGCCCACCTTGAGATCCTGAAGAGTGTCTGCATCTTCAATCTCGGCAAGCTTTACATTGGCAACTAGCTCTGCATCCTCCAAATCCGTCCGGCTGATTTCGTAAATGTCGTAATATTTGTCCAAGTCGAGTGTAGCGGCAAATGACTTCAGACTCTGGTACACATGGTAGTAAGGAGACAACATTGAGATTAGAATTCTGTGTATAGTTCGCCGCAAGCGTGCGCATCGCTTAATCTGGCTTCTTTCCTCGAGTCGAGTGATAGGGGGTAGTGGATTGCATCTATGTCAACATCATTAGCCGGTGTTCACTGGAGGTTGCCTAGAACGCACATATTGTAACCACGAGAGACGAGCTCTACTTCTTGTATAAGCGTGATCCCTGCAGAAACTGCAGCATCGAAATCTTGTGCATTAGTTGTCAGGGAAGAGGCGCTCTCAATCGCTTGGATACGCAGATAGTGCAAGCATTGCCGTCGAAAGTAGTAGTACAAGGTCAGAGTGATAGCGACGGCAACTGACGCAAGCAGGCATATTTGTGATGGGTCATATGGCACAATCGCTCTACTCCGTAACCAGCGTACAGACCATGCAAGAGCGAAGGCGGTTGCGCCGGTCAGGGAAAGACCTAGCCTGCTAGGTACGAAACTTCCATCTTTTCCCCATTGCGGCGAACCGTCTTCAGAAGCCGCTGGGAATGTTTGGCGTCTGTATGTCTTGGGGTTTGTGTGTTCACTGAGCAGCTGAGATGCAACTATGACGTATCGGAACTGTTCCAGAAAGAGTGCATTCTCGGTCCAACCAAGGCGACTATGGACAGCGGTCTATATACGAACATTGTAAGCACAATAATCGGTGTAGTGATAGGTTTATATGTCTTACCGAGCAGGTGTTGTGGATACGGGCCACAGCGCCCTTCGCTAGAGGAGACTCCAGAGTGAGTATGCGTGAGGGCTTTTTACGCGACTTCTGATGCCGGGTTGGTCGACCCAGTGGGGCAAAAGATATCGTCTCCGCTTGTGGTTTTGGCTCGTTGGTAGTCGTTGTTGAAGCCCATTCTTGATTGTTCTCTCCTTCGCCTTCCTTCACATTAGCTATTGAGCGCGGTGAACAATTAAAGTGCTTTACCCTCAAGATAGTGTGCAGTGGGTGAATCTTCAAAGATCACGGTTTCCATAGCAGGCGATTATTGACAAGATCCAACATGCTTCACGTTGTGGGCGGCGGCTGTATGTGGAACAGCGGCATGCTGAGACGAGGCGATGCCTAGGGTTTCAGATGCGACTTTGCAAAGCAGCGACCTCTCCATTTGGAAACAAAGACGCTTTCCTGACCTCGAAGCAAAAGAGGAACAATGGGATGACTTGTTAATGCAGAACGTTCGCATTCGAGATGGGGAGATTGGTTTGACGCGTCTGCCGGACGCTAGGCGCTCTCGGTCTCACTACTTACCCACGCCCCAGAGTACCTAGGTAAGATCTTATGTACCTCTGACATAGCCTGCGAGACTGGGGAGGTTGCCTGTAGTAGCATAGCGAATACATCAATTGGGATAAGAAGGCAAAATTGGCATGCTGAGAGATAATGCAAAGGTCCTCACTCAGCAGGTAGAGTAAAGTAGCAATTCCGAGATTCCGATTCCCAACCTCGGCCTCCCCATATGGGGCTATCCGCCTCCAAGTGAGTGAGGGGACACCACGGGATGTTCTCATCACCAATATACACAACAGCATGGCCGGTGCCGTTCGGCAGCCAATAAATGTTGCTTCACTATCCACTTACATAGAGAAGAATATAGCCGACATTAAATTGCCTATCTGCCTCAAGCAGGTACTTCCTCATGCTCTTCCTGGAGGAGGAACTTTGACTGACATGCGCCTTAGTTTGGCTTTGGTCAATCAAATCCTACCTACCAGCTCAGGGCAGGCGATGGAAGGAAATATGTATTACGAAAGAAGCCACCGGGCAAGCTGCTTTCCAAGACAGCACACCAGGTCGAACGCGAGTTCCGCATCATCCACGCCTTAGAGAGCACAGATGTCCCGGTCCCTAAAGCCTACTGGCTGTGCGAAGATACTACGGTGATCGATACTGCTTTCTATGTCATGGAATATCTGGATGGACGCATATTCGAGGATGCATCATTTCCAGGCATCAATGCCGAAGAGAGAAACCAGATGTGAGCCAACCACCCCTTATTCTGTTTCTGCCATACTCACCAAGTACAGGTGGCAGGATGCTGTCGTGACGCTTGCGAAGCTTCACCGCGTTTCTCCTTCCTCCGTCGGCCTCTCGAGCTTTGGCAAGCACTCAGGCTTCTACGACCGCCAAATCAAGACCTTCAGCACCATCTCTGCGGCGCAAGCCCAAGCGATCGATGTCGAGACCAAGACTCGAGTAGGCAAGACTCCGCACTATGAAGATGTAGTGGAGTTCCTTCGAGATCCAAAAAGCCAGCCGCAAGATCGCGGCACATTGATCCACGGCGACTACAAGATCGACAACCTTGTCTATCACCAGACGGAACCCCGGGTAATAGGCATTCTCGAGTAAGTGACTTCCTCAAGGCTTATGACGCCACGATTTCGTAATATGGCTGGGCTCTGGTCAACTGATACCGCCATTTAGCTGGGAAATGTCTACAATTGGCCATCCATTGTCTGACCTCTCGAACCTCCTCAGCCCGTACAGCTTCGCCGACAATCCTCCTAATGATGCACTGTCTGTCCGCACGAACCTCGCTTTCCGTCCGTCTGCCAGTACTCCTGGGCTCCCTTCGCGCTCTCAGTGCGTGCAATGGTACACTGAGGTCGCAGGCTGGGATCCGAGCTCGGAGGTGGACTGGGGAGATGCATTCGCAGCGTTCCGCAATGGTGTAATCATGCAAGGCATCGCAGCTAGATATGCGCAGCGACAGGCCAGTAGTGAAAAGGCAAAAGAAATTGGAGATTTGATGGGACCATATGGAGAATTTTCATGGTGCTTGATTGAGCGATGGAAAAAGAAAGCTGCCAAAGTTAAGGCAAAATTTTAAGGGGAGGTCTGACGCGAGGCTTCAAGCCTATTGCAGTCAACATTGGCGAGCCACAGCTTCCACGCAGGGAAGCTGCATCTGAGCCACTCGTTTCGCCACGCTAGATCTGCAGATGAGAGTAAGTGCTAGAGGCTCTTATAGAAAGCAATGAGTGGGCATGGATGATTTAGAATTTATATCGCAGACTAGCAGGCAGGCACGCTGTCGGAAAAGATTAGTAGTCTTGAGCCAGAACCATGGGTTATGAAATCCAAGCAGTTGATTGTTGATGCACAAGATCACTGGTGCCGCGATACCTCACCAGTGCCACGTTCTCCGGGCAGGGCGCCTGTCAGTGGTCACTAGGGCTGCTCTCAGTGTGAATGCCGGCAAAAGCCAAGGGGAATGGGAGTTTGCGAGATTCCAAATCGTATTAAATCGCTCTATCTTTTGCACCTGTTGACTAATAGTGGGCGGAAATCGCCCAGCTAATGATGGTAAAAGAATGCGGCGCGCGCGTTGACCGTAAGCAGGCAAGCTTGAATGCAAGTATGGCACCTTTGGGGTTTTCAGCCGCAGGTTGCCAGTCAGGTATGGGAAGGTGTATAGCTGAAGGGTGAAAATAATACTGAATAGTACTGAGGGTGAGCCGGGGAAGGAGGATGCAGGAAGGGGGGGGAGGAAAGAGCCTAGGTACAGACTACGGAGTAGCAACTAATAATCCAAACGGACGGTGGGGGGCCTGGTGTGCCCAAAAGGCCCCAGGAATCAGGGCTATCTCTGGCTCCGGAGGCAATCTTTGCGAGCTAAGCATCCAGAAGTGGTGCCAAAGCATAGAGTAGTATCTCCTTGGACAGAGGATTCGTGCCATTGTCAACCCAAAAGCCTGCATGATCTCTAAAGCCAACTTCATAACTCCCCTTTCACTCATCCTCCTTTCTCAACTTTCAGGCCACAGTCCCCAGTCCCCAGTCTCCAGACCCCGGTCCGCGCTGCATGCCCAAGTCTTACTACATACCACCAACTGGCCTATGCCGTAAAACTCGGGATTTTAGTGAGCCGTCAGCATTCCTCTTCATGTGCACAGCCCTCTTGTTGCACCATAATCACTACTTGCGACCGTTGCGGCTGGCCCAAGTCTGGCATTCTCCCCTTCTGAATTCCTCTATGTTCTGAAATCTCCATCCCCTCCACCTGTTCCTCGCCTTCTTCCCGCTGGGAAAGGAAGAGAGAAAGAATAGCCTTCTCAGCCCCAGAGGCTCTCCGTCTTAGTGTCCATCTTACCGGTCAGTCCCGTCCGTCTACAGCCTCAAAGTACGTCTTCCAAGATCACCTGTCTCCTTCTCAATGTAAAGAAATCCTCTATGATTTCAGAGGAAAAATGGTTCCACTTTGGACCCTTGGTCACTGCCTATCAGATGCCATCTGTTCTGGCATAAGACCAGTATCTAACGACAATGTATCCAGGCTACTCGGGTTGCTTGCTGGTTTCCAGACTGTACAGACTCCCCTATGGCAGTCTCGAACAACCAGTCTTGTTCCCATCGTTTCCTCTAGAAGTGGGGGGGACGCCCTGACGGCTTCAAACTGGCGGCGGAAACGTACGACTCGGATGACGGCCTGATTCAACGATCTCCTCCGCTGGTTCCTCGAATAGTCAATCTAAAACCGTCGCCATCGCCTGACTATCTGTCGCCTCCCGAAAGTTCTCCAACTCCTGAGCGTCTGAGTAGGTCATCAAATTTGAATTCTAAGGGCAAGAAGCGTCATCCGAAAGCCCAAGCCTCGCAAGGAGACGCCGTACTTATTGGTTTTATGGGAGGGCTGAATCATCCAGATCTAGCGACGAAAGCAGGCGAGGTGCCCTTGCCTCAATCCGACGACAGCGACGTGGACGACCCAATGGACGTGGATGGAAGGGAACAAACAGACGAAAACAACCCAGCTTGCGACAAGAACATTGATCTTGTCCACCTCGCAGAGAACGCTCTGCCCTTGCTCGAACGAAACAATGGACATGATACTTCAAAGAACGAGCATTCACGTCCAGCCCGCCCCAAAATTCTAACACAAACAAGTCTGCCGGAGCCAAAGGATGTGATCCACGTAAAGACAGAGTACCGCCAGTCTTCGCCATCACCTGGGGCTAATCCCCCCAAACGGACTAAATATGGATCCAACGCGAGTCATTCGCCGTCGAGAAGCGCTCACAGGAAAGGGGATCCTGATTCTGCTGCAATCTCGCCAATGCTACGGAGGTTTACCATCCCAAACTCGGAACGGTCTCCTACGGAGACTCTGCCTGCAATGCAGCAATCTCCGCCATCAAGCTCCTCCAAATCACCCAATGGTCAGCATAGCTTGCCGTCTTTGAGGGCCATTCAACTCGAGCCATTGCTGGATGGACGGTCCCCTAAGGAGAATGCGCCTCATGGTATAAATCGTCCACCGTTCCCTCTCAGCAACACCCCCGTGACTTCGCCTCCAATGAGCTCTATTGCGCCAAGACCAGCTCAGTACCCCAGTCCACAGACTCTAATGAACGGTCATTTCCATCAGCCTTATCCACACGGCCAACCATCTCCAGCATACAGCGATGCGTCGCCGAGGGACTCCGCTAATATGTCCCCACCCGGGAAGCCTATTCATTCCCAGTATTTTCCTGGCGGAAGAACCCCACAAAGCGAAGAGCTGACGCCTCAGTCGGCAGAGAGTCACCTGAGCACCAGCAGCTTCAGCACCGTCTCTTCACCCCATCCTCACCCCTTGGATATGGATCGAAGCCGGCCCGTTCTCCCACCATTGTCAGGTATGGCCGGGGGATCGCTGATAATTGGGAATTTCAAGTGCGAGCATGCCGGGTGTACGGCTCCAGCTTTCCAGACACAGTATCTCCTGAAGTGAGTTAAGCCATCGATCCTTTCGCGCGCATCACTGACTCGACGCTTCAAGTTCTCATGCAAATGTACATTCTCAGAATCGACCCCACTACTGCCCAGTTGAGGGTTGTGCCAGGTCTGAAGGCGGCAAAGGGTTCAAGCGGAAGAACGAGATGATACGGCATGGGTTGGTGCATGAATCACCAGGATACATATGTCCGTTCTGTCCAGAAAGAGAGCACAAATACCCAAGACCAGACAATTTGCAGAGGTATCCTCCCATAGTCTATTGACATCATGACTAAAACTGAGGCTGATCTGTCCCTTGTAGACACGTTCGCGTGAACCACATCGACAAAGACACAAATGACCCTCAGCTACGCGAAGTGCTTGCGCAGAGGTGTGAGGGCGGCAGCCGGGGCAGACGAAGGCGCCTTGGGAGCTGACAGGATTTTCTACCATGTGTATTCCCAGCGAGGCGATCAGGAGCACGGAGTATACACGGACGATACCCAGGCAGACGAGCGAGAGTACATACGTGCATGTAACGATGATTTGGCACATTTGAAAGGACGTCAATTCAGACTCCGGCGTATAGTACTGCACAGCAATGCGGCATGATGACAGCTGCCAGTAAACTCCCGGAGCCCTACACTGCCGAATTGTCCCTACACCACCTGTACCGTGTGCATGACCGTCTATATGGTTGATGAATTCTTCGATGCCCTGTAGCATGTTATCTCCATGCCTGACTTGCTTCCTTTTCTCTCAACGAATATTGAAGGCAGCGGCTTCACTGACGACAATGGTTAGCTAGGCATGTATGTCCGACCAGAGGAAATCTGAGGACACACTATTTTCTAATCTGCAATGGCATCTTCTCGATTCAGCAATGTCTCTGCGGCTTCGTTTCACTGGTGTGCAGCCCTATTCTGAATATGATGGCTTTGAGTTCTCTCCTCTCGTTCGTGGGGACGACAAGACGAGCAGCTGAAGGGCTTGACACCCTCGCTGGGAATGAGACAAGTCGAAAGCCGGCTCAAGAATGTAGCATTGCGATATCGAAGGAGTCGGCTCGAGGAAAGCATTAATGGGGCGACGACCGTACGGAGGTTTCCGCCGAGCGAGACCCTATCCAGGAATTGGGTCGACGGAGCTTTACCAACTCTGTGCGGTTCACATCAGGGCAGGTCGCCGGAGAACTTGAGATCGAAGAGAAGCCACCTGGATGGAGTCAATAACCGTTCAGCCCCAATACACATGGTTTTGAGGTGCCATGCTCAGGATTGAGCGGTCGTGTTGCCTTGAAGAGGTTGAAGACGTTCGCTCCAGATGAAGTGGAAGCACCTGCTTGAGAAAGGGCATTTGATAGGTAAATGCGTCGATGGAATAGACATCTATGAAACGAAGAAAGACGCAGAGGGGCATTTATCGCGGTCATACGGCGGGAGACACTGGACGCCTTTAAATGGACCCTCTTATCTAGTCCAATTTCCACTGCAGGATTTCTTCTCGAAGCGAGTCAATAGAGAGAGGTGTACCTCAGCAGCCTACTTGTTGGAGAGTCTCTACATCCGTTGCTCAGAAAGAGACATTCAGCATTCTGGGAAATCGTATGAAAACTGCTACTCCCTTTTCCTCTTCACTTTCTAAAGATACGTGATGGCCCCAGACTGAAATTCTAGAACAGTCTCTTGGAGGTCCTAGCGTGGCCGATGGTTTATATCACTGTTGATGATAGAGCAAGGGGAAAACGTCGTCTCCAATGAGAAATTCCTCCATATCACGAAGGGTAAGGCAAAAAATGTCTTTGGCAGGATATTAGCTGTGGATAGCACCTGTCCCCTCTCGTTGTTCTCATCTGTGACGTGATGCTATGGTGGGTATAGGTCGCAAAGCACAGGGTCAAGGACGAGGTTCGCGTATGTTGGGGTTTTATAAAGCTCTAGATACAGCAAATAGACAGATTATCCGGATCCTTCAATCTTCGCCCCGTTGAACAGCCTGATACAGTAGCAAATGGTACGAATGAACCGTCAGGAAGGCCTTCGATGAATCCTTCGTACATGATCTTTCATGTTGTCGACTCGGCTGAAGATCCTTTCGCATTCGTTGTGCGTGCACGGAACACCTGGCTTGTGCTTGATGCAGCTGGTCAGCGAGATAGATCATGCAACACGAATGAACGGGGAGTACCTTTGATTCGTGCCGGTCTCTATCTTTGCGTGACGAGAATCCACCCTCCCTTGATTGAGGACAGTCCTCGTGGCGGCAGAAAAGAGATTTGGTGTGACGCCGATAATGCTTACGCAAATCACAACCCCTGGTAAAGGCGGCTTGAGAGGTGCAACTCGGATAGGCACAACGCCAGCTCCTCCCATCTGGGAGAGGGAAGCCAAAGTTGTGCAAATCTGCTGGATTCGGAGACGCCGAGCGAGAGTCAGACGATACCTCGACTTCTTCTGGGTGCAGGGTCGGCCATGGAATATTTGGCCAATGCTGTTCGCTTGAATAGGGCGAGGACGGTACAACATGCGGAGCCGATGGGGCATACTGGCCTCTGGCAAAGGCGTTGGGGTTGAGGGATGGCCCAGACACATACTGAGCGGGTGTTGAAAAGACGTGTGGAGAAGTCTGTAACTGTGCTGAAGTCATGGCTGGATGTAGAGCAGTCGTCCACTGCTGTTGGTATGGCGAACCGCTGGCGCGCTCCGCCAGGCGAGAATCATGGGCTGTAGCCCTATAGAAATTATGACGAGCTTCTGCCTCCTGAGCTGACAGGACCGCCTCAGCTTCCCTTGAGAGAAAACCTGACATCGGTCGCGAGCGTCAGTTCTGGGATTTCAAATATATGCTAGCACCAAAGAAACAAGGACCGGTCATTAAAGACAGAAGAGGTAGAACGCTGGTGATAGCGGTCGTCGTGGTGATAATGATGGCGGTAAGAGTACGGATATTGTTCACAAATATAGAGGCAAAATCCTCGAGGGGTGGAGATATATACGAGATACGGAAGTGAGCCAGTACTATTCTGTGCCTTTCAGCCAATATGGAATGGGTGGTATTCTAGCATGAAAGCACTCGACACAGAAGATGTAGGCGAAATTGCTGCGACGGGAGAGGCGGAGAGCGCAGCGGTCATACAGACGGGATTACTCACGGCTACGATCCGAGGGCCACACCTTTGCTTTGCTCTGATATAATCTCTGTGCCTGGGGAAATTTTTCAAGGCTCAAGGCTTGGACGAACCCCTCGACTGGTCAGCAAAGCGGACTCCTAATGGATTTCCAGCTCTGACGGACAGGACTTACTCACTCACTAAGCGCTTTACGTGTCAGTATGCAATGACTTAGAATGACCGCGAGTATACCTGGAGTTGTCAAGCGATGGTCCATACTCCATTTACGTGCGAAATTTGAAGCGGACGTGGCCAGAAGAATATCTTTTCTGTAATGAGAAGGTGCAAGGGGCTTGATACTAGATGCCAAAGCTAGCATAACTGTAGAGAAGGGTGCGTGGACACTGATTGGCCAATGTTGCACGCTCCTGAAAGAAATACCGGGACCATGGTATAGGATTAGGGTTTCCTCCTTTGTCTTTGGTACCTTGCAGGGCAAAGTAGCCCCAGGAAGCTGAGTTGTTGCTCCAGTATCAGATCTATATTATCAACTTTGTACTAGATCAACGGCGTAGGCATTACCCGTAACTTGACCAGGGACCAGCTGACCGAACCGGGTTGGGGCACTGGCTGAAAAGAAGCCGTGACCGATCTCCAAACATTGGAGGAGAAAAAGTGATTGATAGGGTAAGTAAGCCATATGAAATGGCTTGAGGCCGTTGAAGGTGGTCGAAGTGTAAGCATGAGATAAGCTTGAGGTTTGTACTTCTGAAACATGGAGCGTTCTTAAGTTTCATGACCACGTTGCAGGTGGAAAGCCTGGGGCATACAAAACGAGCGTCTGCATGTCTGATTCGACGAAGCAGCCAAGACTAGTGGTGAGCAGGTTGAGGACGAAGGACAGGACTACCCTGCCAGGCACATGGATTTGTTTCAACTCTACTTCTCACAACCCATCCCAGACCATCCCAGCCCAGCCTCCGTTCAATCCTTAAGTACCGTATGGAAATTGATCTCGGCTGGTACGCTCCGAGGGTAATGCCCTTGCCTAGTACCGTATTACTTTGCCATAGCGGCGTAGGGCAGAGAGAAAAGGGCAATCATAAAGTATGGGTGCATAAGGTAGTGCATATGTAGTTGGCCTAAGGCTTTAGGCAAAGAATGGAGGCCATGGACATCATCTGATTTGGCCACTGTCGCCGTTGTGGAGGGGGTGATCAGGCGTCCAAGGGTACTCGACAGCGGGAAGAAGAGTAGACGATGCCTCTTTCCAACCCATCCATTTCCCCCGAACTAATGCCTCAGGCACTACTTCACTCACTGAAGATTATGTAGTGATTCGTCCCATCGTATCATCGTATCATCGTGCCATCGCGTCATCGTATCGTCGTATGAAGCAGGCATCCTTACTGGCTTTTTGTCATCAATGTGGCTGATGGATTCTCTCAGCTGACGAACCAGTAGTATTAGGTAGTATGATTAGTGTTCTGATGTGGGTAACCTTAAGAAGCTCAGCTCAGCTCAGCTCCGCGGAAGTGCTGTCATCTACGACCGGGCACTACGCTTATCCCTGTTGGAAATTGGTTCAATAAATTAGTCGGGTTGGCCAGGGCTCTGCTTCAGCCCTGCCGATTAAGATTACCAAGACAATCTCCCTAACCGCACAAGGCTGAACCCACGTCTATCAACATCCTTGCACCGTCTACCCTTTTCCCTTCATCCCTTTTTATATCCTTTCATCCTTTCAACCAAATCACTATATCATTTTACCCATGCCATCTGTACGAGTCCCCAAGAGCCAGGCCGTCGGTAAGCCCGGCGGAGCTTGATTGCATCACTACTGTGGACAGGGACTCCACTCTTCAACCAATAACCACTAAAATGAACCAACATGGTATAGTACCAAGCAATCTTTACACCATCCCTAACTGTATGCCTCCTCATGGTGAATGTCTCCACCCACGAGCTTGCCCACGTAGTCATCTTAGAGTGTAGGACAGACGTCTGCTCTCAGCCTCCTGTGGTTCCCTCGTCCAGACCATCCAACCGAGTAGATATTTTCGAGGACCGGATTACCGGAATGAAGATGCCAATGTTCCCTGTCCTTCTCGGTCTGCGCTGCTTCATCTACTATGCTCGTGATCGACTGAACCTTTCGCAGACGTTGAGTGGAGTCCAGGCCCAGATGACCCGCTAACCAACAGTCCGGGTCCAGTCTCCGACTTTTATCGGGCAATCGCTGAAAATCTCAATGTCTACACACTCAGCCATTTGAAGCACTGAACATTTGAGACGCTCGAGAACAAGCCAGAGCCCTCCCTCTTCACA